TTTGATATTGGAGATCCATGTTATGGTTAATTGACAGCTGTCAAAACAAGGTATCCGCTGACCAGTATTATGTGACCATATCACCGTTTCAGGTTTAACAGCTCATAGAGGTCGCGTGTTTGTTTTTAAGTTGACCACTGACCAGGTATTCGTTTTCGAATGGATCGCAGGCTCAAGTCAGGCTATTACTCTGGGGGAGAAGCTTTCACTTGATTACTTGAGATGCTCACACTTGATTAGTTTTTAAGTTTCTGATCCGAGAAAAAAAAATTCTCTTTTTCTTTTATGACTAGTTATTGTAATCAAGAGCTCCGCGTTTAGGCTTGGCTAAATCTATTTAGTATCACCCAATTAGTGGACTAATGAAAATCCCGCATTTTAATTGGTTACACTACTAGAGGGCTAATAGCAATAGTCCTCGAGTAGCGAAATTGGCGCAATCGAGCGTGACGCTTTCTTTCGTTTTATTCCCTCATAAATATTTCTTCAACTTGCATTTGCTAACTTTATTATTGCCTTTTCTGTCCTACAAGTTGGGTGATACTAAAACAATTAGACCCGTCGCCCTCAAGGGCCACGAGTCAATAGCCCATTCGGCCTCGCCTCATGTGCTATTGACGCGTAGCCGTTGCGAGCTACGGGTCTAACTGTTAAATATTACTTACTATCAGATTAAGCGATTACCTCAATTCGTTGAACTGGTGGCTTATGTGTTCAGTTGGCATCGGCATAAGATCTAACAAGTAAGCAAAAAGATTTAATTCAAACGGTTAGAGAAGAAAACTTAAAGTAGAGAACTGACAAAGATGTAACTAGTGTATCTGTCAATTCCAGTACTGCTTTACTGGCTATAAGTGGGGTATTATCTAATCCCGGAGGCGAGGCTTTAAAACACTGCACGAGAACTAACAACTCGTTTATCAAACACTGAGTCTTCTTGTTATTATTCAGCATATGTTGATCTGCGTTATTTTCGAGACGAGCCTAGCGCTGATGTATTTGCCCTCTTTTTTGGTCCCACCTCATCCAAATACGCAGGGTTGATTTCCAGCCGTTTTGTGATCCCGCGTTCCTTAAACCGCACTCCCAAAACGGCTGGAAATCAAGCCTACCCAATGCGTTGAATACCCGGTTGAATACCATACTATCCCCTGGACACTGCGATCTTCTTATTAAAAAGAAAGCTAACGCACGGCGAAATACAGCATTACAAGTATCATGTATGCACTCACCAACTCCTAACTCTTCTAGAAGTTGTTCAACTGCCTTGGCTTTTTTGGTTCCGACGGATCCTGGCATCTTCATCTGAAAACAACATTGAACAAGCTATGTATAGTGTGTATACGGAGTATAATCTTACAGATGGAAAGGGGCAAAGAGGGTACACTTCTAAAGAGACAGTAAGACTTCATTCATTGACATAAGATTTCTTACCCTGCCACTCCGCAGATACACACCAGCTCCCTTACTCTCTGGAAACTTAACTCCTGATGCTTCAGCCTGCAAGAGATTACCAATGTTATCCAAAGAGAATTATATAACAAGTCAAATTATTCTGGCATTTTGATTGTTCTTACTTATGATCTATTGGAGAAAAGATGCATACATGATGTCATTACCATTTT